ACGACCACAGCACCCGCTGCAGCTCCGGACCCAGCGAGGAGAACACCTGGCGACGAGGCAAACACGAGGTCAGACACACTGCAGAGAGGAGCACAGAGACCAGAACACCCGCTGCACCTCCGGACCAAGCGAGGGAGCACCTGCGGAGCGGAGCACCGAGTTAGATACGGCTGCGGATGGCAGCATAGGGGACGCAGCGTTAGTCGCAGCTCTGGGTTTAGCGGTGAGCACACATCGAGCGCGGAACTTGAGGGCCAGATGGTGTGCAGACAGCGCGAGAAGGGCGTGCACAGCTATAGATAAGCAGAACTTGAGGGCCAGATGGTGTGCAGACAGCGCGAGAAGGGCGTGCACAGCTATAGATAAGCAGAACTTGAGGGCCAGATGGTGTGCAGACAGCGCGAGAAGGGCGTGCACAGCTATAGATAAGCGGAACTTGAGGGCCAGATGGTGCGCAGACAGCGCGAGAAGGGCGTGCACAGCTATAGATAAGCGGAACTTGAGGGCCAGATGGCGTGCAGACAGCGCGAGAAGGGCGTGCACAGCTATAGATAAGCGGAACTTGAGGGCCAGATGGTGTGCAGACAGCGCGAGAAGGACGTGCACAGCTATAGATAAGCGGAACTTGAGGGCCAGATGGCGTGCAGACAGCGCGAGAAGGACGTGCGCAGCTATAGATAAGAGCGCAGAGGCAGACATGGACGTGCGTGGTCTCCGGGAGCCGACCAAGGGAGCCGACACACCGCGTCAGACGTCAGGTGATTATGCTCCCGTCACCAGCAAAGGAAGCAATGCTGTCATACAGATACACGTTAAGAGGCCTGTTTCCGTGCCGGTGGTCACAAGCAGGCCGTGCTTCGAGTCCATACATGTCGCTCATCCGCGCACCTATCTCTTGGTGGCAATGTCCCTCGTCCTGCCTTTTGTTGTGAGGATAATCCATGAGTTTGACACGATCGTGATGTGCTTAAAAAGTTAACAGCTGCCTTGTCCGACGGCCTTGGCGTAGCGGGGTATGTCCTTGTGGAGCGGGCTTGTGTGGTATCGTTTCTGATACTGTGTGCCTGTGCAGTGCCTGCGCATGAAATACGCATTGCGGCGTAAGTGTGCTAACCCATAAGCAACCAGGTGTTTGAAAAAGCTAGCAGCCAGAGCCTGTCCCGTTCCTTTCCGCTTTATTTTGAGACACGACTAGGATCACACATGAAGTGATTAGTCCGTATTTGTAATAACAGCCCGCGTGATCAGCCACCCACCAATGATGTCAACGCACCTTTGGCGTTAACTGCACACCAACATGGTCATTGACGCCATTCGTTGGGTGTAGTCGTGTCGCCATTGCAGCATAAACATGCAATATCCGTGATCTAGAATTGAGCGTCAAGCCTTAGCCATTCTGTTCTCATCGTTCGGATCGGGCCCAATGTATAGGGCTTCATATTATACAATTCCGGAAGATTTTGACTTGAATACGTTATCTCCGACAGACAATAAGTAGCAATGAGGCAGCAGTTTGTGTGCGTATGGAAAGGTGTTTGAAGGAAGGAAAAAGGCCTACAACCCTTAGATGGCATGAGGTCTAAAGCTCGTTCTTTTGATTGTCTCAGACTTTTCAAACGTAATCATCGGCATACCATTGATCACATGTACTTATCACAATGTCTACCATCGCGCCCCACACCCTCCGCACGCTACAACTGTCCGCATTTACCGTAACGCAACCGCTTGCCTTCAGCTGACCGAGAGCGGCGCGCGGGAGCATGGTCTGACGTCACAACACGGACCTCTGCCATTGGTCGTACGCCCGCGGCGACGGCAATCTCCGGCCCGACTCAGCGGTATGTGACTTAGCAGCGGTATGTAACCCAGCTTATGAAACGTCTTCCGAATTTTGTGCGCTGCAGCCTGCATTACAGCCCCAGACCACTTTCTTTCAGCGGCGTCCGAGTCTCTCTGTCCGTGCGGGCGCCTCACCGTGCTGCAGTGGACGGCGAACACCATGACGCCGATGATAGTGCAGGCCAGCGCGTCCGACTTGAGCCGCGTGCGGGCCGTGCGCAGCAGCTGGTCCGGAAGCGGGTCGCCGGGCGTGTCCGGCGCGTCAGGTGCGCGCGGCGCCTCCTCCACCAGGTCCGGGCATAGGTACCGGCTGCCGGCGGTCGGCCGCGTCAGGGGCCAAACGTGCTCCGAGACGCTGCCGATGGCCAGCCGCGCCACAGAGGACATGGATAGCAACTGACCGGGAGTTGCCGACACAGAGCCGGCACACCACGCCAGGTCGGTCGGCAGACTGCTGACAGAACGCCGGAAGACAAGGCACACCAGCGGACGGCCAGCTCATGGTGTGAGGTCGACTTCAAGGGAACTGGTCGCACCATTCATTTGTCAAAACCGTGAGCCTTTTAGCTATGCTGAGCGCGCCGGATGGCCACACTCAGCGATCTGCAGCACCGGCTTTGGCTCAGGCCTCGGAGTAGCACTAGGTACAGCGGCGCGGAATCTCACCTCAAGACCTGGATCAGCAGGGTGGGATCACTGGGGCTGCGGCTCAGGTGGTAGCTGAGCGACACCAGCAGGCCGCAGAAGATGCTGAACAGGATATGCTGCGCCGTCGGCTTGGTGCCGTTCTCGCGCAGGCCGCCGTACGCGAAGCCGTAGAGCGCGGCCACGGCCAGCAGGCTGCGCAGCCAGGCGGTGGCCGCCGCCCAAAGGCTGGTGGCCGCCGTGCCCCCGCAGAGGTGGATGTCCGCCTGCTCCAGCAGGTACATGGCGAACGTGTCCACCTGCGGCAGCAGGCCGGACGTGAAGAGCAGCGGCAGCAGCACCAGCAGGTAGCGCAGCAGCTGCAGCGCCACGTCCAGCAGCGGGCCGGGCGCCAGGCGCAGGCCATACAGGCGCAGGCGGGCGCCGGCGTGCGACTGGTCGACGGCGCGGCAGTGCAGCAGCAGCAGCGTGAGCCCGCACAGCAGGCAGAAGTACAGCGGCCGGCCAAACGCCACCAGCCGGTTGTGGCCGTGCGTGGGCGACGCGGCGTCCGGCTGCACGCTCTTGACCAGCGAGTACAGGCTGGAGGCGACGACAAAGCTGAAGAAGAAGACGCCCACGTCGTCGTAGAAGTCGGCCTGCAGTAGGGCGGCGGCCAGCAGGGCAGTGAGCATCGCCAGCAGCACGGAGAGCAGGTTCTCGGCGATGGAGACGTTGCGGTCGAGCAGCGCCAGCAGGGCCAGTCGGTCGAAGCGCACCTTCAGGCAGGCCCGGCCGCCCAGCTGGCGAACGGAACGGACGGCCGTCAGAGCGGCGCACGGCGACCGGGACGGACGGCGCGGCCACACGCGGACGAAGCGCACCCGTTCTCATCACGATCACGAGGCCGACCGTCGAGATGCAGATACATGCACGGCGTGCGTCGGTCGTTCGAGCCGGCCAGAGAGGGGGTGGGGGAGAGGACTGGCTGACGGGCGCTTGGCTACTTTGTCGCTGGTGGCGAGGCGGGACGAGCGGGCCCGCAGCCTGCCGCTCAGCTATCCCTCCCTCACCCACCGCACTCTATCAATCGTGTTACGACGCACCTATTACATTTATAAAGCGGGCCCTTCCGGTCATAGCCAGTGGTCTGCCTAGGACCTACGGCTCCCACAGAAGCCTGTAAGGGGTCCCCCACTTACACAACGACTTGAGGGTAAGAGCAACGGCACGTCTCTGCCGTGCCGTAGCTCGGCTGCGAGGCTGCCCTGACCTGCAGCCGGTAGTGGTGTTTGGGCGGCAGCGGCGGACTGTCGGCGGCGCGCGCCGCCGGCCCCAGGCCCAGGCTGGAGTGCAGGTAGCGCAGCAGGGGGCCGGCCTGCTCGCCGCCGCCGGCCGCGTCGCCGGCGCCGTCCAGGCCGCCGCCGGCCGACGCCAGCTTGAGGCCGGCCGAGTCGACGGACCAGTCGCTGCCGGCCGGCACCGGACCGCCCGGACCCCGCTCGTCGAACGCGTACGCCAGCCAGTTTCCGAACTCGTCCTGCCGCGCGAGGGCACACGTCGCGCCGAGCATGGACACCGCGCCGGGTCGGCGCCGTGCCCAGTAATGCTGCCATCGGTGATGCCGTACTTGACAATTGCTCACCTCCGATATCGGAGAGAAAAGGACGCGATACATAGCGGTTCAGAAATGAAGTTGCCAGAGACGACGCGCAAGCTGTCCAACTTTGTCCCGTGCATGTGTAAAAATGTGACTAAAGACGAATAAAAAAGCGCGCACAACTAGCATAGTGCACGACCCCTACCAGAGTGCACAACAATTACAGAATCTAGTACGTTTTGGCCAGACGACTTCTCTAAAACGCACCAGACAATTGCGGTCAGCACGCCTACCGACGACTCAATGGGAATGACGACTATCATACTGGTGAGTGAGTGTCAAGTTATTACACCCGACATAGAAAACAAGCAACGACCACCCCTATCAATGATCTGCAGCACATCGCAACCATTTTTCCAACCTCCTGCTATACCCCATCTCACTTCCGATGTCCCCAGGCGCGAGACGACGGCTCGGCCACCGACCTGGAAGTAATGCACAGCGCCCTCGGTCGTGTCATCGTGCGAGGTGGCCAGGTGGGTGCCAGCGGCGGTGAGGAGGCCGCCGGCCGGCGGCGGCACGCTGTCCTCGTGTCCGGCCGGCCGGCGGCGACGACACGCCCGCCGCGGGCTGGACGAGCGGCGCTGACGACCCGAGCCTGGTGGCGCGGGACGGGGCCACGGGCGCCGGTCACCAGCCGGGAGGAGTGACCTCAGCGCACCAGCTGCCACGCACCGAACCCGCGAACATCACCGACCACGGACGGGGGCCGCTACGAAGGGGTTCCCAGACGGTGTCATTTGCTTCCCCTGGGCACTGAATGATGTTCTCCCGCCATCTATACCAGTCCCAACACATCCGGCCGTTCGCTCCACGCTCAGGGCCTCGCTGGCCAGGAGACCGCCGCGCCGCCGCCACCGCCACCAGCCGGGCCTCACCTCTGTGGCCGTCGCGGGCGCGGCCGCCGTGGCCGTCCCAGTGGGCGCCGTGGCGCCGCTCGCCGCGGCTCAGCTCCGAGCGAGACGACACTGGAACAGCGCCACCGGCCGGTCACCTCGCGCGCGCAGCCACACGGCGCCGCTGGGGTGTTCCAACACAGACACAGCGGCTCCGCTCGGGGCGCACGACTCGGGCCACGCGGGCACGTGGCGCCGCCGGGGTGTGCCAAAACCGACACAGGGTGCACACGCTTCGGGTCACGCGGGCGTGCGTGAGGAGCAGCCACGGGCGGCGCGTCGGCGGTTACTGACCAGCGAAGGTGCGCGAACGATGGTGCGTCCTCTCCTTGGGCACGGCACCCTGCTCGGCGGTGGACATGGCCGGTCCACCGTCCGGCCCCAGGCCACCTGGCGGACGGACGGAGCGCGTGTAGGGTCAGGCGACTGGCATCCCGGGCCGGAGGCGGCGGACAACCGGGGCTCGGCAGGCCCATGAGCAGGTTGGTGCTACGTGCATTCTGCGGTACACAGCTGGGGCTTCCACCACGTGATTTGCTCTAGTGGAGGTTCATGATCGTGCAGATGCACAGACTACCCAAACCACACCACGTGGAGAGGCACAGACCTGCTCACCCGTCCCCCTCCCCCAGGCTGTCCCGAGATCCCCTCGGGTCTGGGTGACCTCGGCTGCCCCGAGGCGGCGTCTGACCACTCACCCTGCGACAGCTCACGAGTACCAGCTGCTGTTTACGCCAACTCACAACCTGCTCCGCGAAATACGGCGCAATCCAATCCAACCAGCGCTCTTCCACAACACAGGCCACAATGCCCCACGAGAGCACACCCGACCACCGACCTCTTTGGCCGGCCCCTACCCTCACCGGAGAAGAGCCGCTGCAGACCGGTCAGACTGTGCACACTGATGTCGTCGTCGACCGTCGAGGGCGAGCCGGAGTCGGTCGGCGCCGGCCGCGACCACAGGTCACCCGCTGCCGAAGAGCGCGCCGGCCGGCCGTCAGCGGGTGGGCCGCGTTGACGCGGCAGCGGCGGCCTAGTTGGCTTGGCGGCTTAGGGCAGGATGGAGGCCGCGGGAGGACTTCAGGCCCAGGTGGTGGCGGTCAGGGCGAGGCGGCGGTCACGGTGGAGGGGACCGAATAGCGGCTCACGTGTAAAGGGTCGAGGTCAAGGTCAAGGCGGCGGCGGTCAGGGCGGCGGGGTCCGGACGATGGGTGTCGAGGAGGCGGACGGCAGGCGGGTGTGAGCCCGAGCCACGCAGGACACGGCAGCCAGACGCGGAACGACAGCTCAGCTCTGCTGCAGACACGCAGGGGACGGGGAGGGCGGCGGGGGGGGGGGGGGACTGAGCTGCCAGGCCATGCTCCGGAGTACAGCAGCTTTGATTCAGGCTGCTCCATCAGCTGGCACTGGTCGGAGGATCTCTGGGAATTAGTTCGCCCCACACTCCCGGTGGTTCTACTGACACAAATCGCAGTGAAAACGAAGCTTGGGCATCTCTTCGGAGCGTTGGTAGGTACACCGGCACAAGCCCGCCACAGGTGATTTCTGACAGGTTCGCAGGCTACACGCCAGCTCAGCACCGTCACAGGCCGTATAGCAATCACGGACATGGTTGAGGAAGTTAAAACTTGCAGAGCATATCGATTTGTGAGGTTCTTGCACTTCAAAGGCTTCGAGCCAGATATCATTTGGCACAAAAAAGATAGTCAATTATCGGCGCCCCATTGAGGCTGACGGCTCATGTGATAACTTTTTAAGATAACAGCGTTGTAACTCTGGCCGCAAACTGATCACAACGGCCTGAAAAAGCACAAATGGCCCGGTCAACTCCCCTAACCAAAACAGTTCCCAAACAGCCACATCCAGCCCTCGGCAGGCCGGGAGCTGCCCACCCAGCGGCGCGCCTCTGGCGGTGGCCTCCCACACGGCCCCTCGGCAGGGCGAGGGCTAACCCCCCCCCCCCTCTGGCGGTGACCTCTGGCGGTGACCCCTCACCGGCGTCGGCGCCGCTGTACGCGGCGGTGGGCGCGGCGTCAGCGGACTGGTCCTCCAGCAGCGGCGAGTCGCTGCTGCGCGCCTCGTCGTCGCTGGCGCTCTGCTCCACCGCCTCCGACGACGCCGACGGCCGCGACTGCGGGCACACACACGCGCGCGCACGCATGACGACGGCACTTAGGTGCGAGGGAAGCTCAGCGAGGTCACAGACGGGTGGAGCCGCTGTCCGGCGGCCGTCAAGCCGCTGTGTTCGGCAGATGGATGCGAGATAGCCCGGTCCCCATCAAGCAACGCCCTCTGTCTGCTGCACTTCTCGCTACACAGAGGCAACTGAGCTAGTTAGCTATTTGGACTTCAAAGCGCCTCGACAGCGGCAGTCATTTTGCGCCCGACGGAGGCGTCTGAGAGAATCCTCCCCTCCCCCCAGTCCACTCGCCACGACTGGCGACTGTGACAGCCTGAACGACGGGAGAGTCCTCACGAGAGAGCGTCCCCGATGAAGACCCCCCCCCCCCCCTCCAGGCCGGGGTAGGCGCCAGCCGTGACGCTTCCACCCACCTGCTGCGGCTGACAGTGAGCGGGCGGCGGTGGCGGGGGTGGCGGGGGCGGTGGCGGCGGGGGCGGCGGCGGAGGCGGCGGTGGCGGTGGCGGAGGGGGCGGCGGCGGCGGCGGCGACGGCGCGGAGTGCCCCGGCGCCGGCCGGCCGTGCCGCAGCTCCACCAGCGACCGGCCGACGCCGCGCGAGTCGGCCTGCCGGCCCGTGCTCGTGTCCGACACGCTCAGCGTCCGACGGAAGTAGCCAGAAGGCATCGTGTTCTGCACTGCAACATCGGAGACGGCGCGACGGTCAGAGGGACGTAGAGGTGCCGCCCCCGGCGTCGAGGGCCGGCGCGCGTTCTGTCGCGATGCGCCATTTCTGAAGAAAAAATCCAGGCCTGTGCCAACAGCGGTGTAAATGCGTTTGCAAGCCTTGACGAGCGCCCGCATCCAGTTTGCATATCGTAACCGTTTGTAAAGAATACTGGGTGGTGACGTAATAAAAAACATTTCACATGCGACATCTAACTGAAGCCAACCATGCCATTCAAACCACAATGAAAATCTGACTTTCGTTTCTCCGTTCACACGTACCCATCATACCACCAGCCGCTGCGAGCCCTGCCCGACACGCGATCGCAGGCGCGGCGAACGACTGCCCCACTGTACGCCGAGACATTTGACCTCAGCGTCGGCCGCGTCAGCAGACGGGACCCGACACCGCGGCTCCGGCCGGCGCTCACCTCGCTCGCGCACGGCCGACAACAACGCCGGCAGGTCGAAAATGGCCGACTCGCGAATGTCGTCCATCTCCGGCGCCATGGCGAGCGAGAGGCGGGTCGGCAGCTCCTCACGGCCAGTCTGTCGGGGAGGGCGGGGTCAGGAGGGGCCAGCGGAGGGGCGGCACTCATGGACAGCCGGGCCCAAGCCAGTCACGGCCGCGCGGCGGGGGCCAGGTACGGAAAGACGACGGGGGCAGACACGTGGCGTCTGACGAATGCAACGCGGCACCGATCATGACGTATTAGGGACGGTGGCGTGCATGCCTGCGGTGCAAGCGCAAGGAGACAAATGGCAGACAACCCCAGCAACACAACTCATGCATTCCTTTTCAGCAGCACGTCGTGCGCTTAAGGATACCGGAGATCGTCTGTTACGTGCTGCGATGAGCTTAGGCGGGCCCAATGACGCAACGAAACCCACGGAACAGTGAAAAGGCGACAGGGCGGCGGCCAACGCGCCAGCAGAGCAGAGACGTCGCTCGGCTGCCTTTGCGCCTCACCCACCTGCATAGAAGAGACGGAGAGCTTGGTGTCGTCCTCCGCCAGCCTGTCTTCCGGCAGCTCCGATATCAGGTCAATCGGGTGATCTGCAGACACGGGCCAACTCACAATAACGGGTCGCCACTGACGAGAACGCCACTGCGTGCCTCCGCCTGCTCCAGAACCAACAGCATCAGACGCAAACGGAGGCCCAGCACCGCGTCTCTGTCCGTCACCGGAAAGACCACAGCCCAGTCTTGAACCCGCCTGCTAGCGAGCCACAGCAGGAAGTGCCGCACCTGTGGCGCTGGTGGAGGACCCGTGAGGGGGGGGGGGACGGGGGCGGGACGGCGCCACTCCTGTATACCTGTGACGCTGGCGGATGACCGGTGGCGGATGGGAGACCAGCATCATTCCTGTATACCTGTGACGCTGGTGGGTGACCGGTGGCGGGTGGGTGACCGGTGGCGGGTGGGCGAACGGTGGCGAGTGGGCACGTCCCGCAGGGGTCCCAGGCCACTCTCCACCTGGTGGACGTCCGCCTGTAGGTCTGGTGGCACCGCACAACGCGACCGTAAGTCCTAATGCCGCAATATGCCGTCATGGTTCAACATCGTAACACCACGTGATCGTAGAACAAGACCGCGAAAATAAGGCACCACCGAGATATCGAAAGACAACAGTTCCATAAGCGTAACATACCGTCCAAGTACCGCATAAAAGAATGACAACATCGGAGGATCATCCACTCGTAGGGCGGGTCGGCGTAGCTGCGTGAGTCACCAACCGATACGACTTCGCCTCGACCGATGAGACTTGGTTATCGGTTAAATGGCACCGAGAGACAACGCCGAGACAAGAGTCGCTGCAGTGATCGTGGCACGCTTGTGCCCTGACACGATCGAAAGCTTCCCTCCAATGCTCCACGCACACGGTATCGAGTCATGAAGCGACAGCCGCTAGGCACGGAGGGCGTCCTCTCCGCCCGGCCGCCGCCGTGCCCGGGCCTCACCGATGCGCTCGGCGCTGTACTGCGGCACGCCCGGCGGCGGCGGCCGCCGCCCCGTCGGCCACTGCGCCAGCGCCAGGTCGTGCGCCGAGTTGCGCGAGCTGCAGCCGGCCGGCGGCGTGTCGGCCGGCGGCGCGCCCGGCCGCCGGCCGTCCAGCACCGCCAGCTCGATGCTGTCCGCCGCGCGGCTGTAACATGGACGGACGCCCGGTGAGCGGGCGGCGCGGCGCGCAGCCGTCCCGCGGCCAGGACCGACACGGCCCGCTGACAGAGCCGGGACACAGTCCGCCGTGTGGCCGGGCCTGCCGACAACGACTCGCCGTGCGTGCATGACCGTACGCGCCGTCGGACGCCGCGTACGTTCGCGCTTCAGCAGTGTATGAGACATCAGTGACGACGCTTGTAAGACGGGCCAGGCCCGTGACGCGTCCGGGCCGGATCGAGACCGGAGCAGGGGAGTGGGGGAGGCAGCCGCCCCGTCAGCAGCGATCACCGGCGGAGGCCGATACCGCGCGGCCACTCCCGCCGCTCGCTTCTCCGATGATGACGTATGCGAGGGGTGGGTGCAATGCAACACGATTTATCGGCACACCGGCCGCCTCAAGGTCATCACGACAGGGTTTGTTATTTACAGAAAGGCGCACCGCCGAACTGCAGGCGCCCAGCGACTGGTCCGCCTGCAACCCGCTGCCTCGGATAGCAACGGACCACCAGGGTCGCGATCTCACCTGTTTCCGCCCTTTTCTGAAGAAACATCCGGTTCAGATTTTTCTTCGACATACTCCGATGTATCGTACATTTTGTGCAGTTGGTAATTGACGAATTTGATGGCGGCAAAGACGATGAATGTGGACGTGCAGTACATGGCCCAAATCGTCGTTGATCGCGATGAGTACTAAAAAACACACCGTGGAGGTTAAACCTGTCATCGTACGGAACATATTCTTAAACAAACTCGGCGCCGCTATCAGCATGAGGCAAACTCACGCCAGATTTCCCAGAAAACACCAGCCAACTATGACAGTACCTGCCTAAAAGTCACTGCATTACACACATCTAGAGAATCTTGCAAAACTCTGGGATCGCAACAGGCATTATTGGCTAAATACGCTACAACATAAAGCCAAATGTTCAGACGGCAAACCGCCCCTACGTCAAACTCGGTTCGATCCTGCATGGCCGCCCCTCACGGCACAGGCACAGTCATACTCCACAGTCACAGTCACAGTTACAGTCACAGCCACAACCTAACAACCAAATTGGTAAGGATTCCTGGGAGCGAAAGGTAGTCCTGAGCGTAAATTCGATCTGAATCAATGAAGTGAGTGGGTGATGCGGGCAGACAATGGCACCGAGACGGAAGCCAAAACGGTGTAGATAGATGCTGCGGGGACCGTGACATGCGCTGAGAACTACCAGAGGAGGCGGAGATCCCTCCGCGGCGGACAAAACATGACCTTCCCGCGGGAGAGGCACCGTCGATGTGAGGGCCCAGCTCCCGCAGGCAGGGACTGGACTGGAGGTTACTGACGCGAGGACCATAAGGCCGGCCCGGGGCCGGGACGCCAGGATATGGGCCGGACCCGGCGCTGCACGGGCTCAACTCGTGTCCCAGCGCCCCCGTCAGCGGCACTTGGACCGCGCCAGACTAGACTGCGGTAAGCGCGCAAGGGCGGGACCATAACCATCCCGGCAACTACGCGCGTCGTCAAAAGGCGCCACGGGGAGCCGGCGGTGGTCCGCTGTGGCGAGTCTGCTGTCCGCGGTCCAGCATGTGTGGGATTACCGGGCTATGCACAAGCTACCCTTCCCACGGCCTGGACAGCATCAGCGTCATACATTTTGTAAACAAACTAGTATTGGTACAACAGTCAACCACCTTTACACTGAGGCACTCCTTGCTAGGTGGCAATTATGAGTTGAATACACAATCAACCCTCAAAAAACATAAGTCACCAATCCGCAAATAATTTGGTGAGAATGGGCACCCGTCTCCTCGCCTGCAGCCAACAGTATTTATGTGGCAAGATCGCTTTACGCCGATGCCGTTGGTAATCTGGTACATTGGAGATAACTGCAAAATCACCGTCGCCAGCCACATTCCGACAAAGGCCGGCCACATTCCGACAAAGATCCGCGGAGAACCTTCGGAACGGGAGCAACACGAGCTTCTGCTCCTGGTGGTCTGTTTCAAAACCCACCACAGCTTGAAAGTGAAATTCCAGCAAGGCAATAAAAGGATGTTAAGACTTGGTGAGAAATAAGTTGCTGATATTAAGAAGACATTGCTCACACTATAAACAACAGATTGTGGTTTGGATAATCAGTGGCTGCTATGTGGAAAAAAACACTGCTTAGCTCTTTAGGACACAGTGTCTTCCCAGTGACTACCAGGACTGGCACAGAGCAATGATGAATCTATGAACTCAAAATTCCATGGCCAAAAAATCACCCTGATCATATGCTCCTGAATACCTGTCATATGAAGCCCAGTGTAATAAAGCAGTTAATGTAACTGCAACTGAGCAGCAATTGCAAGAAGGCAGTAAATATATGAACAAGTTAGACTTTGGGCAAAAGTTGAAAAAGCAACACTAGCCAGAAGACTGCATTCAAAGAAATAAAGTGATGAGGGCAAACAATAACTAGCTTTCAGTGTTGGGCCCTGTCCAAGACAGCATCAACCATAACATGAGCCTGTGCTAACAGAAAGAGCTCAAGCTGCCTTTCCTTGCAGGCATGAACATGCAAGCAAGCTCTATGTAAAAAAAACCCAAAGCAGCATTTTCCATGCAAATGCTCTAAGAGAATGCATGCAAGCATTGCTTCAGCCAACAGTTTATCTCTGCCACATCCTGGTAAGACAAATTGTTCTCATGAGCACATGCAACATTAAGAGTAATTGCAACAGAGGATATAGCTCTCAATCACATCATGACATCCAGTGATGTTGGATATTTATATCTACAAGGTGCATGTCTGGCACATTTTTCAACTCTTTAAGGTATCTGTCATAGTTTCATCATAATCAGACATGGAACACAACTAAATATGACATTGGTTACTTCAGTACTAAAAACTGAGTACATACATTCAAAATCACACCCAGAGTGTGGAGAAGCAATCCCAGGGGATGAAAATTATTTTCTAGAGGCCAACCTGTGTAACTTAGCGGACCAGGGTGTCTCCCTCAACAAAGTGAAGGAGGTACCACAAAAGTGGTTTTGGCAGATGAGACTGTGACAATGGCAGGAAACACCACCCTCTCAACACCAGCAATAACAGTGCATAGAATCCATTCATTAATAGTTAAGTGATCATCACATGGGACATGAGAACACAGAAGTGTGCACTTTGTATGATAGTGCTCTTGCTGAGGCAATGCCAAACAACTATATGGTGGCTGAACTTGGCCCAGGTTACCATTGATGATATGAAGCAGTCTGCCTGGTATTAGGGTGCAAGAGCAGGTCTGTGGTGCTGAACTGAGGCCCATCTGGAGTGGTAACATGGGTTCTATCTGGACTGGCCATGTGGGTCCCAGCTGGTCATGCCCATGTGGGTCCCAGTTAGGCCCCACATCAGCTGTCCATGTGGGACCCAGTTGGCTGGCCATGACATGCCCACATGAGATCAAGGTCAGCAGCCAAGATGGCCCCATATGGCCACCCATCATGGACTCACATTGGTCTCAGTTTGACATGTTAGCTGGGACCAAACAATAGTGGCATTAACTCCTATCATCAACTGCAAAATGATCAATAGTAACAGTGTGAAATGGTAGTGTAAGCATATAAATCCCATGTGGAAAGATAACAAACACAGGAACAATATGCTGGTCTTCAAGGCATCCAAGGTCTGGAGCCCTAGATAGTCCTATGAATCCCCAGACCAGACATAACCATACACTGGGGCCCTTGCTGAAAAGAGAACCCGAGCCCTGAGCTGCCCCTTCCTGGAAAAAAATATAGATGCACCACTAAACCTATACAATTCATTTGGTGATAGTACTACTGGCAAATGTGAGTGAGCATAGGGAGCTTTGATTAGAGAACAACATTGTTAAGGCAAGTGTTATTCCTGTATTGCTTTTTACTAATCACAGTGGCAAAAGAACAATCTAAAATTTTGTAATTTTATGCCAAAAAGCAATACTGGAAAGGTTGTGACAAGGGCTATGCCAATAGATGCAGCTATTAAATAAGCATATCTCAAACCTTTTCCATCTGCAGACTGATTCTGATGTCAACAGAAAGTATGGGTACATGGGAATAAAGTAGAGAGATGTGAACCACTTGGGTATGGCATAAGTTTTCTTGGTCCATGATAATTGCAGCTAGGTTACATTACATGCAGCTTTAAGCTGTTTGGCTATGCTATGGTTAGACTTAGGACATTTGGCTTCAAATTGTCATTGTGATATCATAGCATCCTGCTAGCTGACTGCTTTCCTGACACTTATCCTGCATGCTTACATGAACTTTTCTGCACAGCCATGACCATTAGATGCCTGAACTGTTTGAATGTAGCGCATTCATATGCCTTGCATGTTGACACTTCTTTCCTGGCACTTCACAAAGCTCCTCACATATGCCCAGAATTTTACCTGGTTTACTAAAAGCATTTATACAGCATGTGAATATGATGTTGTGACTGAGCATGCATGATATTCCAAGTCCAATTCTCTCCATGGCTATCAATATCAACATACATGTAACCTGCCACACCAAAAAAGAAAAAGGGTATACTGCATATTGTCCAAGCCAACTACCCAGGCCTGTTGACCAAGTGAAAAAAATTAACCATGGGCAGCTGAGAGCTTAGTACCACAAACTAGAGACAAGTTTGCAATGCTGCTGTTGTCCATTATGTGCATACAATGTGCAGTTGTTTGAGTCACAATGATATTTTAAGCATAGGCACTTACATTTGAGAATCAGCCTCAAAAGGGCAGAAGTAAGATGTGTTTTTCTTTTTTGGGTAGGCAGTGCAATTGCAGTAGGTAACAAGAACATCAAAATCTTTGCTTACCATGGTGATAAGAAATGGAGCACAAAGAAGTAAAATCCAGAAGTAAAGCTGAATAGTATTGATGATGACATTTTGATGTGGATCATAAAACCATCCTCCAGTAACAGACGTCCACAAGACATGTCTAAAAATCTCAAGGTTCTGGGAGGCCATATTACGCAGCGCTCAAGACTGCTGACAGGACCTCAAATGAAACCTCTAAGCGTGAAAAATGCAACACTTCTCATCACAAGCCTAGAGTCATCTCTGCATAATTATCGGTACGACCCCATCGTAGTCCACGACCGACGAACAGCAGCGCTCCACTTCCAAACCAAACCCGGCTGAATACAGCCTTACTCATGACTACTACACGGAACTTCGCTGTATGACCGCATGTTCGGCGCTTAGGACCAGCTGGAGAACCATCCCTGTGTTCGCTTCATCTGGCTGTCAGTTAGACCATTTCAGCAAATCACGACGCAATGTATCAACAACTATTTCGCTGATAGCTGGCTGCGAATGCAGCATTGGATCATCGCATGTTAATCAGCGTAGTGGCCATAATTAAGGAATAAATTGACTAGATACGTCTTCTTCTTGACCAATTGTGCTTCTTTATGGAATCTAAAACCAATCACAGGCCAGGCTTCCAGCAATTTTCTGTCTTAAGGATGTCTCCGAACGGGATGTTCTAGAAATGAAGAAATGCTAAAGTGCTGCTAAGTAGTGATATGACGAAGAAAACAGCTGTAGTCGAGTTTTGCCGTAATCTTTTGCCACTTAACAAGAAGAAATAGCAGTTTTGTGATTGAGATTCTTCAACTGGTGATGGTTCAAGAAAATGATTGCAAATTTTCGCCCTCGTTCGGTGTTAAAACTTTGACAGTTCAAGCGGGTAAACCAAGGTCAGTGCGATGACATTAATATTAGCTACCCTGAGGCAGACTATTAGAACATATTTCGTTTCACCATATTTTTGTATACCAGGCAGCTAAATGAAATTACACCTATGAAGGTGCATTAAAAAAATTGGAACTGACTTGCTTCTTACCACAAAAGGGTTATGAAAATGGTACGGCGGAGATGTAGCCTATGTGGGATTGTGGCACGCACCATCTGCGTCGTCCATGCGGATGGCAGACTAATGGGCCACCAGGAATGATCTTCCTTTATTGGTGCGAAACTGTCTCGCGTTCTTCAACAGCGGAGCATCGGAACACCAGTTGTATACCCAAGTGAAACAGTGTATTGCGCAAGCGTTTCAGCGAAGGGCAACAGCATGACTTTTCCAGTCTGTTGGTTTGGGGCCATGGCTCGTCTTTTTGGTTAACCTTGGTTGATTGCTATCCGTGGATTTCAGCGCATCGGGACAGCAAGTCGGGATTGGGCGCAGATGTGAAGGTTTTCAGGTAAATCACCTAATTGAACGTTCCTAAGCCTTTCGGAATGGCCTCTTGTAGATGCTTTGTCTGTAATGAAGTAGAAAACTCGTACCAATGGGCGGGGTGCTGTGCGTCGCCCCCGAGATCGCTGGGTTTTGATTATGGGCAGCGCGGCGTGATTGGCGAGATTCCATGTCAAACATGGGTGGTGCCAGGCATCCTTTATGTGGTGGCGCCGAGGAATGTTGTGTTTCAAGTGAAAGTGGTACAACTGCTTCTCATATGTATGCTTTAAGTGTGTGTACTGGTATTTGGCTCACCAGTAAATGTCATCAAGGTTTCTTATCTTGTAGAATCAAAAGTGCAAGAGAGTGATGATGGGGTCATGCCTTGGAGGAAGTTTAAGCATGAGCCTTAGGATTAAGCTTGTATGTTCCATCTAGTATCTGTGCAGTGAATGACACTTATTAATAATGCCTCATTTAATGAATAGATGTCTAGTGTAGATAATGTAAGGCATCCTGAAAACAAAGTTTGTTTTTGTTGTTTGTTTTGTTAGATGTGTGTGTGGGTGCAGTATGGATATAGTGAAATTGTGTGTCTTTGTCCTGCACAGTCTTTATTTTTTAAGGCTATAGTTGACACACCAGCAAAATTATTACAGAACACATCAAAATCAAGATTGATAGGAATAGGATGCACCCAGCATTATTAATGCAGATTTAGATTGTGACCATCTTACCTGTTATTCAGCTGTTATATCTAGGTTTGCGATTAAGCCTTGTTTATATCTGGTGCATGATGGTACAGATTAAGGTATTAGTATTACAGCACCTGCATAGAAATATGCCAAGGCCACAGTTAACAGATGATTAAGTAGTCACTAAGGTGTATCATCAATAGCATTCCACTATCATGATCATTGTAGAATGCAAATGTAAATGAAAAAAATATGATGTCAGCACCATGGCTACATGGTTTGTGTTCCTTCATACTCAGCTCCAGAATGCAAGGGCAAGTTTGTTTGGTGGTAGTAGCTCAGAAGCTGCGTAACAAACCATGATTAACTTTGTACGTAGCCTAAATTTGGTAGCGCTTAATGTTGTTGCATTAGATTGAGGGTCAGCTGAGCAGTGATTTGGGAGTAGCATCATTTCTAATGTTCTGCATGTTTTGGGAGCAAAACAATTAATTTAATAGCACAGTTTTCAGCTTGTAAAAAGTGCAAGATGGCTTGCATGTACATGCAAAAAGTGGTATGTACATGTAAGAAGTGGTAAACACCTTTTAAAGTGTGAGGAAAGAACTCTTGTTCTTTAACACATGCACATTTCAAAATGTGTGTTGTGTCAGCATGCAAACAGGGCTAACTAGTCTAGGATGACTGGCTTTCTCCCTATTCTTTCTGGTCTTTATCATCCTCAACAGGACATCTCATGAGGATGTTCATGTGCTGTGCTATCTAATTGGTCATTGCATGTTCATGCTAAGAAGTATCAGGTCCTAAAATGCCATTGGGCAGATATGAAAAGGAGAGTTTCTGTCATGTATATAAGAAGTACGTGAAGCCTTGCTTGGCTATCAGTTAAGCTTAAATGTCTGTTTAGAAGTGGTCAGGCTGGAGAGAGCTTAAAATGGATAAGAAAGAGAATGACAGGACTTTGGTTCAAGAACAGTTATCTCAGGTCAACATCAAATGGCATAGAGGTACCTATCCCTCCTCACCAAATCACAAGAACCCTCATATTTCTGTTCCTATAGTCATCAGAATCTGTTGGTGTTGTCTGGATTTTAGTTTAAGTTCATTGCTGGTCCATTAATTGTCTGCTTCTATAAAAATCTCCTAGTCCAATTATAATGTACTTTTCTATGGCTTTTGGCAGGCTATCCACTTAACATTCACCAGTCCCATGTAATTTGGTAAACAGCACAGTTGTAGTCTGGGTGCATACTGCTAAGAAAGGCTGTACTAGAACTGATTTCATGCTAGTTTCAACCATCCTCATAATATTTTGTACTAGTGTTTTTGTAGCCTATATACATTCAGTGTATGCTCTGTATTGTGAATGTTAAGCTGTTTCAGAAGGATGAGTAGCCTCTGCAGGGGTTAGTTTTCCTTTTCCTTCACCCCTACAAACTTTGAGCATGCCTCCAATATCAAGGGTCAGATGCTTTACAAGGGCACAAAACAGGAGCACAAAGTGTGGGCAATAACTGTGGGACAGGATGGGCTGTTGGCAGAGGATACATGAAATTGTGTAATACATCTTCTCTTGCTAGAGTATGGTCTTGAGTCCAGCTTAGTGTGGAGGGTGCCAATAAACAAAATCATCATGGTTGTGTGTGTTGCTTGGGTGAAGTAAGGCAACATACCAGGTGAAGACTGATTAAGAGAAGGTTCATTTCCACAAACTCTAGCAAGTGGCAACATGGTCTGTGATTTAGCTTGTCATTGCTAACTTGTAAGGACTTGTTTGCTTTGTTCATGAAGCTATAAGGATGGAAATAATTGTCTACATTTTACACACTCTGATAGAGTTGCCAAGCCTCTCCATGTGAAAGAAGTGTGATCGTCACTCTGCAGGCACCTTTCATTCAAAAACAGCTCCACGTTTTTTTTAGTTTATTAAACAATGTGACAGCTACTGTGCTTGTGATTCTGATAACCAGCATACAGCCTTATTGCACTATTTCCACTTGTCAATACCATTGAGCAAAGCCACTGGACTGTCAGTTTAGCAAGACAGGGTGCTGGTTGTTGCAGGCATAAGCCATGAGAGCATTACCATACTATCCACCCATGTGATTCTATGACTTTGGCTGGGAAAACATGTATGAGAAAGTGATAAGGAGCAGATGCTAAAAGTGACACCATGTTTATGTATTCTTGCGCTCAGTATTGCCATGAGCTATACAAGCAAGCAGTGATGAGGGCTGTAGTTGTGTTATATTTCTGGCTGGCAATTTATATGCAGGCTTTTTCTCTTTTGGAGGCAAGCAAGCACAAGCCTAATAGTTTCTGTCAGAGTCCACATAACAAGGTGCCTGTCCATATCATGGAGTGAGTGTGTGCCTGTCCATATCATGGAGTAAGTGTGTGCCTGTCCATATCATGGAGTGAGTGTGTGCCTGTCCATATCATGGGATGAGTGTGTGTCTGTATCATGGAGTGAGTGTGTGCCTGTCCATATCATGGAGTGAGTGTGTGCCTGTCCATATCATGGGGTGAGTGTGTGTCTGTATCATGGAGTGAGTGTGTGCCTGTCCATATCATGGAGTGAGTGTGTACCTATCCATATCATGGGGTGAGTGTGTGCCTGTCTATCATGGAGTGTGTGCCTGTCCATATCATGGGGTGAGTGTGTGCCTGTCATGAGACCATGGTAGGCTGTGTTGGTCCATCCAATGGTGGGGACTTGGTTAGTCCATTCAGTGGTGGGGGCTTGGTTGGTTTCATTCAATCATGTGGGCTTGGTTGGTCCATTCAGTGCTGGGGGCTTGGTTGGTCCCATTCAATGGTGGGGGCTTGGTTGGTCCATTCAGTGGTGGGGGGGGGGGGGGGGCTTGGTTGCCACACCTATTAACAGTGTCTGTTCCAGCCCCATTCAGTTAAAGCAATGCCTCCTATTCACATTGTTTTAGTGCATGCTGGTCTGACTAAAATGTTTAAAGGATGCAACTTTGCATTGCCCAATGCCTATCTGCATGACAAGTGTTCCCTCAACCCCCCTATTCTTAATGCCATTGCATGCCTATGATGTTATGCTGGTGCCCCTGTGATTGGTTACAGCACAATGGATTGGTTACAGCACAAGTTCATCCATGTGTTCTGATTTTTGATTTCATGAATATGTATGTAAAGATGGCAAGGGTATCTTAGCAGCTCCCGAAGTAATTCTCGCGATAGCAATGCCCACAGAGAAAGATGCGCCAATTGTAAACAGTCTGTCGTGCATTTTGACTCGGTATTTCCACCATCCGCCACCGCCCTCCCCCCCCCCCCCCCCCCCCCTCGCCGCCTCCCCGCCTCCCCGCCCATCACGTCCACACAATTG